CCACGTACATGTAGAAATATAGTTGTTTTTGAATGTTCTAACAATTTATTTTTTCCAATATAAATATTAAACTATATACCTACAATATATGCACCTATACGTACACTTAAATTTAAATGAACCCATCGTGAAATATTAATAGCGTTCTAAAATTATAGTATGATACAACCGGCAGGTTTTTAATTTCATCCATATTATATACGTATCTAGATCCTTCTAGGTATAAAAATCCAATTGATTATCAATTATTTTAATACCTTTAAAATGCATTTTTGTTTTAATTTGACTTAACTTATTAATTAGAGTTAAGTTAAGTTAACTTAATAGTGTTTTGTTAACTTAATTTATGTATTAAACATTTCTCTAAACATAACTTTTAATTCAATTGAAAAAAAAATACTTGACTTTAATTAATTAAGTTAAAAAATATATTATTGACTTTACCAGCCATGGATTTAGGTAAGTAATGTTATATTATTTGTTTATATGTTGTTTTTAACAATGCACAGTACTTATACACAATATAATATTGCGTATACTAGTATACCTACTTACAGCCTTACAGGTGCTATTTTTTGTAAAATTTAGGACTGCACATTTAATTTTACAGCTTTAAAAGAAAATGTTATGCACTACTATCTTATATATATACAGCATATCAGAGATACAGATGGAGAGATTTTGATCGCAGCGATGGTTCTGAATGGACCGCTAAGCTGACGAAGAAGAAGAAGAAAGTATGTATGTATKTATATAAGTATAAGTATAATAATTTAAAAATGCAATCAAATCAAACAACAAAATTCAAGAAAAAAAATCATGTTTTCTAGTAGCTGCGGCATGTAATTTTTGTTTTGTATACCGTAGTGCAAACACGTTCAAATCGTAGTGCACACTTGTACATTCGTGGTACACATTGTGTTTCGCGGTGCACATAAAAATAGGGCCTGCCTATACTTACTTGAAATACAACAATATTTATATTAGTAAAATGTGTCCGTGAAGTTTGKGTTGGAAACTTAAACGTATATAAGATATTATTAATTGATTTTATTATACATATATACGTATTATAGGTATTACTATGTAATATTATAATTTTATATAATAAAAAAATCTCAATTTCTAAGAACTTCCGCGGGGGAGCTACTTCATAGACGCTAGGGGCTACGTGGAGACCTACTTCGTGTGAAAACAGTATATGGTCTCCATATGTGGTGATGGACAAAACAAAAGGAGGGGTACATGGAATTTCTCCATCAAAAAATATGCATAGTGCCCAAAGTAAGGAGTTACAAATTTTGAAAAGTGCGTGTTACAGAACAATGGCGTTGGTCTGGAGTCGATCAGACAATAAGTCAGGGGGCTAAGTGAAGTTGACCCACCTGGCCGCACCTAATTAAAACTTGATCTTATAAAATGTTAAAAGGACTTTCTTAATTCGAAAGCTAACTTGCTATTACTTGATTCACTATTTGTTGGTACGTATGCTTAAATTTGAAGTGGATTGGGTTAAGTAGGTGTGCGGGTGTGCCAATTTTATGGACGTCGATAACACACAAAAATTGTTCAAACATATCTATATATAAATGTTGAAAATACAAAGGTTGTTTTTTTTTTATAAGAAGTTCAAATTTTAACAATATTCGTAAAAATTACGAAGATTTGCAAATTATTTTGTAGTTTAATATAATTGATTGGTGGTATATAGTATATACCACCAATAATGTCGAAATCGGGCAAACCTCAGAAATGCCGGTCAAAACACAAAATGCCCACAATCCTTAGGCAAAATGTCATATTTCGGCTTTTGAACGGGCAAACCTAGTTATGA